GTTAAAAGAAATACATACTTAACACTATTGATACCATTTTCCACCTTACATGTAGAAAATCGTAAATTATCTTACTATTGATTTACCTATAGTTTTAATATCGTGTTCTTTTATTTAACGTTTTTCCAGATTTAATAAATTTTATACTCAAAATAATAATGTTTCACCTAAATTAAGGTTGAAATTCTATCAATTACATTCATATCCTATATGTTTTAAACAAAAAGAAGACAAAACATAAATAATAATAACATTATATATACTTTATATTTACTATATGTATTTAAAATTATGTCTATATACATACTTCATCTAATTAGCAAATTGCAAAAAGGTACATATCCTCAGATATAATAAAGTACGTTTATTTTTACATTGCAGAGAGATAATAGACTCTCATACAACGTAAATATGTACGTATATGTTAAGTATATAAATAATACAAAATTTAATCAGGTAACATAAAAGGTGTAATTCGGCGGACGAAAAATAACTCCGGGGAAACGATCTTCGAGAGAAACTTTTAAACAATATCATTGCATAATATGCGGTCATACGAGATTTTTAATTATTAAATAAATCGTAGCCATCAGGTATCGAACATCATTAATACAACTGGTTGATATTTTTTATTTAAACGCTATGAAATATGATATACGATAAAAAATAGCGTGTATAAATATTATTATACGACAATAAGATAAAGTAGTATAAAAGATAAGAAAATCTATTCAGTTGGCGTTAAGTAATTCATGGAAATAATGCCGGTTTCTTTGAGAACGGCAGTACGAAAAACTATCTTGCTTTATCGATGAATATTAGTTATTTTGACAATACAATAGGATTAAAATTAAAAATTTAATTTTAGAGGGTGATTTACTGTCTGAAACGATATAAAATTGACGATATAAATAATATTGGTGGGGAGGTGGCGCGCTGGGTGCAAGACAATTATGCGGTCCCTCCCTGAGCACAGACCTCGTGGTGAACTATTCTCCGACTCAGCCATATTGAAATATTGGATGTCTCTGTTACACAAGGGCTCAAGAGTAGCCGTGAAATTTTCGCGTGATCCTCGACGAATAGAGGATAAGAGACATCATGGAAAATATGTACAGCATTGCCGTTACCAACAAGTTCTCGTTAGCGTTGGGTGATGACGAAGATCCGCACGAAAAGCTCCGAGAAGAGGAACTAAAGAAGGAAGCTAGGAAAAAGGAGAAGCTTTCGGAGAAGGAGAATAAGAGTAAGCAGCCGGACGCACAGAAAGGAACCGGTAATAAAACTCAAAAAAATCGCGTGATCAAGGATTCCCAACAACAACCTTCCAAGGTCCAAGATTTGAAGAAAGATCAAGGTTAGTCATTTTTCATTGCGTTCTTGCCTCGTGCGCGGTATTATGGCCGTCGCTCCTAGTCCCTCGTGGGTCCATGTGCTTTTGATATTTTGCCGCACACTTAACGATTTTCTCGTTCTGTTGCTAATCATTTCTTTCTATTAATTCTTTCAATCAATGCTATTCTTTAAGTTCGAACAATTTGTATGGATTTTATTGTACCAATGTTCATGTTTCTTGTAACTTTTTGAGAATTTTTTATACCGCATAGTGTGAGGTTCTCGTATCGTAAAAATAGAATTTACCAATGGTGACCCCACGTGTCATTTAACAAATAATTACGATAAGCTGCTGTGATTTATCTCGAAATTTTTACACAATCGTTAAATATGTGCAGGATATTAATATAATTTAATGAAAAATGATTTCTGCGTTAGGTGATTGGAGATTGTATTATATTTTATTGTTTGATGATTTATAAAAGGCTCTTATTATTTTTGCTGCAAATAATCGATATACTATATTAAAATTATATTAATATGTATATGTATGTGTTTTTGCTTTGACTGTGTAAGTTATCCAGAAGCTACATTGATCAATTCCATAAATGAGAAAACTAATAATATATATATTCTATATTACTTTTTAAAATTTACCCTGGAATTTATTACTATTTATACTATCTTATTATTTTACTATATTCTTTTTAAAGAATTAAACATTAATTATTTACTTAGATAATGAAATTGAGAGATGGACAAGAGTTGTTTGGTTTGGCATGTAGCAAGAGGCTCATATGTCAAAATATAAAATTAATATTATGAGAAATTACTTTGATAATATAAAAGTTTTTATGTATTCTAAATCATTAGTAACTGTAATTATGCATTATTTACAAATATAAATTTTGTTGTACTTCTGTTTTATATTAAGCTATTATGTAGATATATGAAGCATATATATAAATTACTAATTTTTAATAAATTTACTATTTGTAACAATTCCATTTTACTTATTAACATTATGATTCTTTTTATATAGTTGGCGATAAAAAGCCACCGCAATCAAGAACTGGTGGTGGAAATCGTAATGTCAAATTCTCTGGAGAAAGTAGAGAAGAACGGAACAATAGGCGTAATCGTGAGGATGGTGAAAGAACGCCTCGTGGTCAGGGAGAACTAAGACGAGGACCTCCCGGGTTAGTATACAAATATAGAAAAAGAAAGAAGTGTTGACAATATTTTTATTTCTTTTTGTAATCTTTTATTTTTTAATTCTTCAGTGAGGGACGTGAAACTCGAGAGTTCCGAAACTCCACTGATAATCAACGTGGTGAATACGGGGAGCGTAGGGGTCGTGGTGGAATGCGCGGAATGGTGCGTGGACGTGGTGGACCACGCGGTCGTGGAGGATATGATTATCGTGGAAAACGTGAATTTGATCGTCAATCTGGTTCCGATAAAACGTATACATAATTTTTCATTTATTCTTGTTGAATTATATCCCGATAGGTATTTAACATTAATAAATCCATTGTTTGCATGTTTAAGCAGTGGAGTTAAACCAGTAGACAAAAAAGATGGTGCTGGTAGCCATAACTGGGGTACCCACAATGATGAGATTGAGTAAGTATTGATTCTAACAAAATTGATTTAACAAAAATTCACGTTTTAATAATTTGTGTTCCTTATTCTATTTTCAGAGAAAGTTTAAATCAAGATAATCAAGATTGGGCTAATGAAAAACCTGATGGAGATGCCAACCAAACGACCACAGAAACAAAAGAAGGAGAGATAACTGCAGACACGGTGGAAGAAAAGCCTGCCGAGGAAGAATCGCGCGAATTGACTTTGGATGAATGGAAAGCTTTACGTAATAACAGAGTGAAACCTCAATACAATTTACGTAAAGCTGGAGAAGGTGAAGATTTGACTCGCTGGAAGAAGATGTATGCATTGGAAAGGAAGAAGGAGGGAGTAGATGAGGAAGAAGAAGAAGAAGAAGAATATGATGCTGCTGCGGAATATCCACAACGTGTAGGGAGACAAAAGCGTCTTTTGGGCATTGACATACAATTCAGTGATTCTCGACGTGGTTCTGGTGGACGTGGTCGAGGACGAGGTCGTGGAGAACGTGCAAATGGTCGTGGATTTGGTAATCGTGGAGCTCCTAGAGATGGAGATTCACGTGGTCCTGTAAGTATTTGTATTCGTTTTCGATTGAAACTTAGTGTGTGTAGATGTAATGCAAATTATATATATTTCTTACTTCTAGGCTTCACAATCCGAACAGAGGTCGCCCCGAGGACGTCAAAATGCACCCAAAGTAGATGATGAAAATGATTTCCCCTCATTGGGATAGGTGGTTTCACTTGTCGTCTACGATACAATATCCCACCATTATCACCAGCATCAGTACTACTACCACAGATAAAATTACCACTAATACTAAAACTATTACTATCAACATTTTTGCGTCAGTGAAAAGGTTATTAATGCATAATACAGTACACCCTTGCAAGCAGATACGTAATTTACCTAAATAAATCGTAGCGCTTTGAACGCGCTCTTACATATTGGCACATTAAACATACATATAAGAAGTCGCATGATATGAAACAATGTAGATCACGATCCTTTTTTGTACTTGTAATAACTCAGTTCATCCGTAACTAGTTCTTAAATTCTAGTTTACGGATGAGCGGTATTAAGAACGAGGCTGGATATTCATGGACTTGTTGAATAATTATAAAACTTGAATACTAGATAAAGAATATGGCTGAAAGACTAAGCGGACCAGCAGGAGTATAAATATCAAAAACATTTTACACAATGTAGTTCGACGCTGCTTAAATCTGAGTGAAACACACAGTTCCGAATAGAAATAAAAAAAAAATCCACCTGTATGCCAGGAGGTGAGACAGTTTAGCCTAGATTTTAATTTTGACGTTGTCGTATATAAAAGGCCTAAGGAGGCTGGCCATAGCACCGACTCTTATAAACTCATGTATAATAACTTGTTAGGCGGTAAATTTTAAACATTCTTTCTGTTTTATAATTTTTATATGGTGTTTGAGGAAGCCTTCGTGCATAAAACATATGAGACTTTAAAAAAAAGTGTGTATTTGTATCTAAGAAAACATCTATGATATTAAAAGTGTCTATTTAGGTATATACTAAGTTTGGCTTATATAGAAGTATAGAGATTTTTCCTTTCAAAGATGTAATCGGTCTGTAAGAAGTTAACATTTAAGTAAATATTAGAGAGACACATACAGACATAAAATACAGATATACACAGCTTTACATATATATTGTATAACGAGTTTAAGAAAATGGTCGATACATACATTCAGAGGGACAGATAGGATGAATCCAGTCTTATATAGTTACGTTATACGTCGATTATCATGTTCTTAATTATGACCTGCTATATTAGTTATCATCTATTGTATTTGTTACATGTAAAATGAAGAAATACCACAGCCAAAAAATCCAAACCCTCTCCATAAATGCGAAAAGAAAAGTAAGAAGAGCGTTATTAAGCTGTTTGAAGCTTAGTTATATGTGTAAATAACATATTTACAATAATAAATTGTGACACATGAGTCACTTTAGACTTGACTACTTAAACCAGTCGACTTATGAAGAGATATTCTACAAAGGGTTTTTATTTGTGCAGTATGTAAAGAATGTGAGTACAAAGGAGATTAAAAACAAAAACAAAAAAAGTGCGTAAAAACATCTTACATCGAAGATTTTCGCTACAAGGTATAATGGAAAATTGGGTGTCACCAAAAGCTATGCGAAGGAAAGAGAGAAAATACGAGAAGTGCTATACCCACCCAATAAAGTTATAAGTCAAATTCCATTGTAAGCACCTTGTTCTTCTCGTTCTTTACGTATGTCGCCTAGGAAACACTATCGGTTCGTCTTGAATTGAACGCCTTCTTGAGCTAATACAATAGGAATGTAGTAATCAATCTCAATTTGAAAACAATTCGAAGTTTTTCAGTACTAATTGCTTCGAATATGATTTGATAATTAAAACATTTGAAATATTGTATAAATCTTGAATCGATAAATATTCGATAAATATTGTTTCGATAAGTTTCGATAAATATTGAATGATTTAAAAGATTTCAAGGTTTCAAAACTGACTGAAAATTTAAGCTATTTTTACAGCTATTATATATTAATGAGACCATTAATATCTTAAATAATAATCATAATAATTATACATCTTTTATAAGATACTAACTATCTTGTTAATATATTATACATACAAGCCACTGAAGGTAAAATATAATACAAAATATAAGACATTGAATACTTATCAATTTTGAAATTTATCAGAACTTTCAGGATCTATTAAAACTACCAAAAATTATCGAAGCTTTAAGGATTCAGGATTCTCCAAAACTTCTAAATGCTTCAAATATCGAATCATGTTTGAAGTAATTTGAATTTTATTAAATATGTACATATTCGAACTGATTCGCAAGTCCATGTAGTGATGGGATTTGAAACACTTCGAATTGTTTCGAATCTCTGTTAATACGTTTTAGAGCTTGGAAGTCTTGAAAACGTTGAATGCTCGGAAAAATAGGTTTGAAAGTTTTGAGAATTTTGGTAAATTTTAAGGGCTTGGTAAGTATTTGATATTTTACGAACAGTTTTAATATATAAATATTTTTTTGTCTAAACGGTATATGGACATAAATTTTTAACGGAAGCCATAAACACGTTCATTTACGTTATTTATCTTTTTGTATATATTGAGAGTGTTGGCAAATTTTCAAATTTGATTGTCTCAAAAACGAGGCCTTAAAAAAACATCTTATTCTACATTTTCGACTTATTTCCGCATGTAGAATTATCTCCTTGTCTATTCCTGTCTAGTTAGAATTAAGCAAATTCATGTTTTCAAACCATTATTATAAATTATAAGTGGTGTATAGTGTAATATAATAGTAGTAATTAGTGTTTAAACCTGCCAAGACTTTCAAAACGTGCTGAAATCTTTAAAGACTCAAGATAAAAGTTGGATGTAGTGGAAGACTTTTAAGAGTTACAATGATGTTAAAAATGATTCATATTTCCATAGTCTCGTAAAGCTTGGAATCGTTTCGAGATTGAGATTCGAATGTTCATCGCTAGGTTGATGGTTCGAAAGCATATCACTAGTTTTACCAGCTTTTACTATTAAAGTAAACAGTACAGGGTTTCAGCCACGGGAGGACGCGGCATCTGTAAGTCCGATAGAGTATCCCACACACAACCGTAAGAAAGAAAAGGAAAGTTGGGAAGAAGAGAGTGATAGAACTAGTCAAGGAAAGACACTGAACCGTGGGAAAAGCTTGACGAGAGGAACAGAGAGAGAAAGATAATGAACAAGCGGCGGCGCATGCCGTAGCCACGGCCCCCAACTTGCTCTAAACTCGTGCAGCCTGTCGCTGTCGGTCGAATTTTAATGGCGGCTCATTCCGATTCTCTGTTTAGTGTTATTATCAAGTAACGAAACGGTATTTATACTCTTTACGCGTTACTACAAGAGATAATAAGGAGTTCCATTAAGTCTAAACCGTGCGTTTCGTTGTTTCATCGTTCGGATACTATATCAGAGACCTGTATCAAGGACATAGTGAGTGCATATCCGCGATGTGTCGTAGCGACTCTGGCGTACGAACATTCCATCGTGTAGTCGTGTTATACACTTTGGCTTTTTCATGAAAAGGGTTGACTCTACGTGATAAATCGAACTTGTTTCCTTTTATTTTAATTCGTTGTATATATGAAATTTTCGTGAATCAAGAGAAAAAGAAGGAAAGTTAACACGAGCTGACTGATGATCATATCAGATCGAGCGAATCGAAGCTGCGAGCTTTTTTCATGCTGGAGGTAATTCCTTTTTCTTTTTCAGTAATTACCCGTGGATATTCTCGTGTTTTATGAGTGTTCCTGGGAATGTTTATGAGTTTCTAGAATATTTTATTGTTGAGTATTGAGTAATTTAGTACGTTTGTGTTTTGTTAGACGATTATTGACAAGGAGTAGAATATCCTTGCCTTTGTGCAAAGACACTGGCCTTAACTGTCAAGTGCAGCTATGCTGCTCGTACTAATGAAGGGCGGTGCGTGCATCGGTGTTACTCAAAAAGTGTGGAGGAGCCATCTGCCCTAGCCTGACATCGTCGTCGAAATGTTTTAGTATCGAAATCGGTCAGTGATACATTATTTACATTTTGACAATTCACTTTTGGATTATTATATTTAATCATTGTATGGCTTGATCGTGGATGTTCGTGTATTTAGATACGTAACGTAAACCTGACAAAATATGAATGTTCGAAATGTCTTAATGATATATCCTGATGTTTCTTCGACATTTTCGTTTTGTCTCTTATAATGTTTTATTTTGTTAAAATTATTTAATTTTTTTCATGTAAATTAGACTTTTTCTTAAAATTTAATATATTGTCAATGTTATTTTATGAACAATTTTTTATTTGGTTAATTGGTAGATATTGGTGAAAAATGTATGTGATGTGTGAAATTTTTTTAAGAATAAATAACTAATTGTAATTGTGGTTTTGAAATGTTCCAGAGGTGCCAGGCAATGTGCATCATGTCGGTGCCTGGATACATGTGTAATTGGTAGTACTATATTGATACTGGCCTTCTACCAGTGGGACAAATACCCTTATTATATTTTCTAAGCTTCCTACCCTAGACTTGTACATGCACAAACGCACACGCATAGCGTGTGCGCATGTGCTTTGTCAACTATTGCCTACACATCATGAGATTCTTGGGATTTGTATCATTTCCCATTTCGCCTACTGTGTTATCTCCTAAACTGCTACTACCATTTCATCGATTATCCTTTTCATCCATGTCTGTTGCTACCTGGTTCCTGGTGGTACTGGTAACTGCAGCCATAGATACACCTGCTAGTACTACTCCACCTGTGCAAGAAAATAGATCGTTACACATTGTAACACAGTTTCCTATGGGAGATGGTCAAAGATATGGATTTTATCCTCTAGATCCAAATACAACGAGGGAAGGTGCCCTTCGATTTAATCACCTTACTATAGATCCTGCAACAGGAAGATTATATGCAGGTGCCATCAACAGACTTTTACAGTTAGATTCTAATCTCAGACTGGAGGAATATGTTTCCACAGGTTAGCTATTCATTCTTTTTATGAGAATTGTCTATTTTATAAAAGATATATATATATATATATATATATATTTGTACTATGGAAACATTATTAAAAAAGTTATTGTTATCCATTATTGTTTTCAGGACCAAGATTGGATAATCCTCAGTGCCATGCAACAGGCTGTCCTTCCAGAGACATAACTACATCTTTAATGGACAATGTAAACAAACTATTAATCGCTGATCTTGAATCACAAACACTGATTGCATGCGGTTCCCTTCTTCAAGGTGCTTGTGAAAAGTACAAAATGTCAAACATATCTATTAAGCCGGAATTCATTCCCCATAGTGTAGCAGCAAACGATGAAAGCTCTTCTACATACGCTTTTATTGGGCCCGAAAAATACAATGCTTGGGGACAAACGAATATACTCTATGTTGGTACTACATTCACTAATAGAGGAGATTACAGGCATGACGTGCCTGCTATTTCTAGCAGAAATCTTCACAATTTAGAATTCGCGGAGTATACGTTCAATAAACAGTCAATCGTATACATCGACGTGAAATATCGAGACCATTTTCTGGTTAAATATGTGTATGGGTTCAATGCCAACAACTATGCATATTTTGTATTGGTACAAAAACAGTCTCATCTTCCTGAAGAAGAGGAAAAGGGTTACATCTCTAGATTGGCTCGAAGCTGTATCAATGACCCAAATTATGATAGTTATACAGAAGTGACGCTACAGTGTACTGTTAATTTAGGAGATGGAAAATCGCAATCTTATAATTTAGTGCAAGACGCGAAAGTGGCACCAGCCGGTAGTGATATAGCCATGCAATTGGGTATTTCCGTTGGTGATCCCATTTTTGTCTCCGTATTTTCTCCAAGTAGAGGAATCACGAACGAACCGCTGTCTCGGTCAGCACTTTGCGTGTACAGTTTGCAAGAGATTGAAACAAGATTTACTGAAAATATCCATATGTGTCTCAATGGTAGTACTAAATATAGAAACATGGGATATGTCAGTGGTCCTATACAAGATGGAAAATGTCCTGCGGCAGGAGTAAGTATAAAATTTAAAGAACTGAAATATTACCATTTGAAAATATTGCATATTTTTATTGAGTTGTGTCTTTATTTTTCTATCCAGACAGCGGGCAACATTTTGCACTTCTGTGAAGTGGGTTTGAAAATCTCCGGAATGTCACCAATTGTGGGACAAGCAATTTTACATTTTCCTGACGAATTCATTACCTCTGTAACAATAGCTAATACAGAAAGTCATACCGTTGCATTCTTAGGTACTAACGACGGTTCTCTGAAAAAAGTTTTACTTTCTGGAAATGAAGCATTCGTCTACGAAAATATTGTAATCGATAAAGGAAACAGATTGATGCCTGATACTTTGATTTCTCCAGATGGAGAACATATTTACGTTTTATCGACTTCTAAAATTTCTAAGGTGCAAGTTGAACATTGCAGTAGTTATACTAATTGCAGCAGTTGTCTAGACGCGAAAGATCCTTATTGTGGATGGTGTTCATTAGAAAAAAGGTGAATATCTAATTTTTTTCTTCATTATTTCTTTTGTTTAATAATATTAATGTATATTTCTAGATGCACAGTTAGAGGAGATTGTCAGAAAGCAAGTCATAGTAGTCCACGATGGTTATCTTTAGGTACAGGACAACAATGCATTGATTTCGAGCAAGTTCTTCCAGATCGTATGCCTATCAATCAAATGACCACCGTTCACTTAACAATCAGAACTTTACCCGAATTACCAGCAGGCGCAAATTACAAATGTGTTTTTGGTAACGCCGAACCTATAGATGCACTAATGACCGGATTTGGATTATCTTGTCCTACACCACCCGTACTTGAAAGACCGAATATACCAGACGGGGCCGATCATGTTCTGGTACCTTTATCTGTGCGCTCTAGTGAAACAAATAAAGATTTTGTCTCACGAAATTTCGCTTTCTTCGATTGCTCTAGGCATACCGTGTGTACAGAGTGTGTAAAATCTCAATGGGCCTGTAGTTGGTGTGTCTATGATAATAAATGTACACATAACACAAGCTGTCAGGGTATCATTTCGGGAGAAAACGTAAGTGTATTAATGTTTAGATAAAATTTAGTATTGTTATGAAAAAGATAACTTTCTGCTCACAGAATCAAGCAAATTTAGCTGCGCATGGAGCACAATACTGTCCAAAGTTCGTTCAACGCCAGGAACCATTGATGTTACCTAACAGTGTACCCAAAGAGATAGTGCTCGAGGTTGAGAATTTACCGCATCCTCAAGTAGGACACAGTGGTTTCCAATGCATCGTCTCAATCGAGGGTGCTAATTTAAAAGTACAAGCTCGTGTCGATAGCAGCCGTTTTATAGTATGTGATAAAACAGTTTACTCGTATGAGGCGGTCACTGGCGAATACGAAGCAGAGGTAACGGTTGTCTGGAACATTAATCATCACGTGGACAAAACTACTATCATCCTTTATAAGTGTGAAGTGTTGGGTTCGCATCGCGAACACGCAGATTGTTCCCTTTGCGTGACCAGAGATGCGCGTTTCGAATGTACTTGGTGCGGTAATAGTTGCGTGTACCGGCATTCTTGCTTGCACTCGCCATTTACCGAGTGTCCGAAACCGAGGATAGACATGATTAAACCTCTCAGTGGACCGATCGAAGGTGGAACATTGGTCACTATCGAAGGTAGTAATTTGGGGCTGAAAGAAAGCGACGTGGATGGAAAAATACATATTGGTAACACACCATGTACTTTAGTCGACTATGAAGTGTCCGTACGCATCGTTTGTCGTACAGGAAGACACGAAGCAACGGACACTGCCTCTGTAGTGGTTGGTAATGACGCTGGTTACACTGAAAGCGCAGTGTTATTTAATTACAAGGATATACGATTGTCTGGTGTTTACCCATCAGTTGGTCCACAAAGTGGTGGTACGCAACTTGCCATTACTGGAATGTATTTAAATATTGGTAGTACTATATCAGCCTACCTAGACGAGTTAGCATGTCATGTTAACGCCACGCAAGCGAGTAGTACCAGATTAACTTGTGTAACAAGTAAATCCGATAGAGTAAGAAGAATCGACAGACTGACTCTTAGCATAGATGGTGCGAATCGCACTTTAATTGGTAATCCCTATAACTACACTCATGATCCTACTATTATGGAGATTAAGCCACTAACAAGTTTTGCTTCTGGTGGCCGTATGATCACCGTTCACGGCACCAATCTAGATACTATCCAGAAGCCCGAAATGGAGGTATACTTCGACAATGAACTACTGCCAGTAAATAGGACTGTTTGTACAGTATTAAACCCGACGCAGATGGAATGCCCAAGTCCTAGTGTTGCTAAGCGGTTCATGACTCTTCGACGTAACGGGCGTGCTACTGCTAATAGCCAAAGCACACCACCTCAATCATTAAAGTTAAAGGAATCTCAATTATCCTTGAAAATAGCATTTATTATGGACAATGTGGAAAGTGTACGAGATTTGGAAAAGCATTTTAAGAGTCTTAGAAATCGCTTACTTTATGTGGAAGACCCGAAATTTCTTGCCTTTCCGCGTAACATTAAATTATATAAAGGTGATACACTAGTTATCGAGGGGGAAAATTTGATTTTTGCCAGTGATGAGTCTGATGTGAACGTTACTGTCGGTACAATGCCATGTAACGTGACTTCGCTTGCTCTAACTCAATTGGTTTGCATTCCTCCTGATCAACAACCAGCTGATACGGATGAACTTGGAATTAAAACTGAAAATGGTTTACCCTTGGTGGTAGTACGTGTGGGTCGTAGCCTAAGGTTCCCCATTGGTTATCTGCGCTACGAAGTGATTAAATCTTATCCGATCCCACCAGAGGCAATTGCTGGAATAGCTGCTGGCACTTTTGGTCTTGTGTTTCTGTTTGTTTTAGTGTTAATAATATATAGAAGGAAGAGTACACAAGCAGAGAGAGAATATAAAAGGATACAGATACAGATGGATACTCTGGAAAGCAATGTTAGGATGGAATGTAAGCAAGCATTTGCTGAACTACAAACCGATATGACTGATTTAACCGCTGATCTGGAGTCGTCCGGTATTCCGACTTTAGACCACAAGAATTACATTATGAAAGTATTTTTTCCCGGTGTTACGCATCATCCTATATTAAATGATCCTAGATCACGTAGTAATGTGTCTCGTACAAACTACGATGCTGCCATGATCCAGTTCGAGCAACTGATCAATAATAAATACTTCGTATTAACGTTCATCGAAACCTTAGAGGCTCAGAAAGACTTTAATATTAGAGATAAAGTGAATGTTGCATCATTACTTATGGTCGTCCTGATGGGTAAGATGGAGTATGCGACTGATATTCTCATGAATCTTTTACTAAGACTTATTGAAAAGGCAGTGAACACAAAGCATCCTCAGTTGATGCTTAGAAGGACCGAATCCGTGGTAGAAAAGATGCTAACTAACTGGATGGCTCTTTGTATGTACAATTACCTTAAAGACTATGCAGGTTCCTCTCTATTTTTATTGTTCAAGGCAATAAAGCACCAGATAGAAAAGGGTCCTGTGGACGTGATTACGTACGACGCTAGATACTCGTTATCTGAAGAAAGGCTACTCCGTGAACAGATTGAGCACAGCGTGGTCACTCTGCATGTCGTCCAAGATGATCTCGATGAGAAAATCCAGTGCAAGGTGTTAGATTGTGATACTATAAATCAAGTGAAGTCCAAGATCCTAGATGCTCTCTACAAGAATACTCCTTTCTCACTGAGGCCGTCCGTTCATGACGTAGATTTGGAATGGAGACACGGTAGAGGCGGACATTTAACTCTTCAGGATGAGGATCTCACGTCAAAGTGCAGCGGCGAATGGAAAAAGATAAACACGTTGGCGCATTATGGTGTGAAAGAGTCAGCAGTGATGTCGTTGATTCCTAGACAGAACGATGGCTTTTCCGTCGCCTGTAAACCACCGTGTCACAATTGTAAACCATCGCACTATCATCATCAGCAGCAGTCTATTCATCACCATGCACATCACCATCACCTACATCGTCACGCGAATCACTGTTCGTCCACGCATCTTCCATCCACACCTAATCACAATCTAATTAGTCCTGTAATGTACAATCATCCCGTTAGCGGTTTATACTTCGAATCTCAACATTCACCGCCGATCATAACAGCAAACGGCGACGTAGAAAGCGGTCATGGAGGTAATCAACGATTATATCATTTGGTAAGGCCTATAGAAGAAAGTCACTATCCGCCAGGTATGGGTTTCACCGGTAGCAAGCATCATCATCCAGAACGAACACACAAAGCCATCCCTGAAATATTTTTAACGAGATTACTATCGACGAAGGGTACCGTTCAAAAGTTCGTCGATGATTTTTTGAATACGATTCTAACAGCGAACGAAGCATTACCCAGTGCTGTAAAATGGCTGTTCGATCTCCTGGACGATGCTGCGAAGCAACACGGGATCGTTGACCCGGAGGTACCGCACGCATGGAAATCGAATAGTTTGCCGCTTAGATTTTGGGTGAATTTTATTAAGAATCCAGACTTCATGTTCGATATAAATAAGTCCACGACGGTTGACTCGAGCCTCTCCGTGATAGCGCAAACATTTATGGACTCTTGTTCGATGACGGAACACAGGCTGGGGAAAGATTCACCGTCGAATAAGTTACTCTTTGCCAAGGACATACCGCATTACCGAGAGAAAGTGGGTCGTTTTTACACAGATGTACAAAGACTGCCACAAATCACTGATCAAGAAATGTCTAGTGCCATGCAACAGCTGAGTGCGTCACATGCAAATGAGTTTGATGTGATCGCAGCACTAAAAGAACTTTACATCTATGTCAGCAAGTATTATGAACAAGTAAGTATCTTGAAAGCAAAGCTTGACTCTTTTTTATTAAAATGTTTAGTTTGTTGATTGGTAATTTAATTAATGGAATATTGCATAGATCCTAGAGGCCTTGGAGACAGACGCAGGCTGTCGTAAATTACATCTAGCCCACAGGCTAGAGAATGTCGCGTGCACACTCGAAGGAGAGGAAACCAGTGCCTGCTGACACAACCTCCTCATTGCTATCCCAGGACCCGTCAATCTCTCCAGAAACACTGACTAGTGCCTCCATTTCATGCATCAGATACACCTCGTTACATATGTACAAATCTACACACCATGTGAATAACAATGCCGTAAAAAATACGTGCGATTTCGTTAAGGCTAGTCAGGCGATAGTTTTTCTTAGGATAAATTAATCCTGGCTGTAGTATTTACGTCTATATGTCATGGCCGTATCGAAATACGCTCGTACACACGTACAGATGTTAGCAAAATGGTAACAAAAGAGAAAATGATGAACTCTAACCTTTAAACCTGATCTGTTTTTATTAATATTGTATATTTCATTTATTTTACTATACATATATATATATAGTATATTTGTAACAAATTATAAGAAAACGACGAAGGGAATCTCAATGCAATCGGTGGAATCTTCGTTAGTAAGGGATATAATTTATCTTATGATCGAAAAACTATATCTCCGGTGACGTAGCTGAATATTGGTCCGCCTACGCGTTTTAAGGATTTGAGATGCAAAATTCGTGCAAAAAATACTTATTAAAAAAAAGTAAAAAAAAAACAAATGGAAATTAATGATTTCATTGTTGGCCGAATGTCTATACGTGTATACGTAGTATATATAACACGAAGAAAAATAACGTATGGGAACGTTAAATAAGAGAAAAAGCCATAGTGTCCACCAGACTGTCTGTACAAAGGGAGTACGGCAGCAAGTAGTCTGTGATCCGAGCACGAGTGGCTATGCCTACTATCTTCATTACGATATATATATTATTAATATGTTATATATTATATATATATACATAAAAAATATATAAAGCAAAGGTCACGCAACATACACCTCCACGGATTGTAGTGAGCTAGTTAGAGAGGGTCTATATATGTATTATAAGTTGAGGGTAAAGAACCCTTTTTCAGAAAAAAGAGAGAACGAACGAGAAAAAACGTGAGTGGGAGAGAGAAAGAGAGCGTGAGAGAGCAAGGAACGACACTAAATTAAGGCAATTAAAGTAATGTTAAATGAAAGGAAAAAGAATTGGCTTCTCAATTAAAAGTTGTGAGAGCAGTTCAGACTACTCTAGGCCTATCTGCGTATATTTAGTACGTAAAAAAAGAATTCTTTTCTATTACATTTTCTGTTCATTTTTCAGTCTGTTTTTATTTACTTTATACGATTACATTTATATATATATGACTGTTGCTACGATCTGGAAGGCCACTATGTGGATCATATAATGATTTTACAACCACTATAGGAGCTATATTATATCTATTATTGCTCTTACTACCATTAAGTTGTATTATTATCTATATAGATATAATTATCGACTAATTGCCCATTCAACAATAGTTATTATGGTATATTGTTAAGCATAAAGAAAGCACATAATAGATGCAAAAAACGAGAAAGATCTTTTATATTGTATACCGGCGAGGAAGTTTCTAGACTCTTAATGAACGCGAATTAAAAAAAAAATGAAAAAAATGACAAAAAAGAAAACACAGTAGAAGGGAAAATTTTATACATGTCTGGTTGTATTTTCGCCGGTTATTAGAGTTTCAGAATTTTTCGCCAGTTGGTCAATAATATCGCGGTTAAACGTATCGGGAAAAAAAGGAAGGTTTAACAAGACACAACGATGAACAGTATTTTTCTTGGGATTACATCGCCATTTTACTTTACCTAAGACTGCCTCAGTTTGAAAAATTGCATTTTTTAAAGGAAGCATTTAAGTGTCCCTGATACTATTCATTATTCCAGTGTATAGGTATTTAATAACAGTTCGATTCACTGCCCATTGCGCACTGCCAATTTTTCTCCATGCGCTTTTTTAGGAACTGTTACACCAGAACAGACCTACTTAAACGTTCGATTGAATCGCGTAACCAATTATTTGATAATTTTGTGAATGGTAGGTTTGGGAAAGCTGAGGTTCAAGCTCACTCTTGTACTTAATTAACACTTTCGTGTATTTTATCTGCTCTACAGGCCCTCAGCTTCCCTGTCGATTACCATCAACCTGTGTATCTCTCTATTATATGTATTGTATTTATTTATATACTGATGACCGGATTATCTATACAGGAAATGATACGTCAATCTGTCCTATGTGATTTAATGTATTACTTTTTCTTTGATACACGTCAACATACGTGCTGTAATTTTTCTGAAACATAAAGTCGTTTTACTGAACTTTTGGTGTACGTGAAACGACGATACAACATTTGGAAATGATGTAGATGCGAATCGAAATTCTATAATAATTTAATTCCATGTATATCATATTTTCTCAATGTATATTTCACACGATATTTTACATATAATATGTAACACACATACATGAACAAATGATAACAGAATGGAGAATGGGATTTAAATGAGCTTTTATTATTTATACATTCATTCTGTTATCATATCTCTTGTAATGTTTTAGTCGCGTTATTTTATATGTATTTAAATCACTATCTCCTGTGAAATTAAGGTCAGCTTTCTTGTATATTGAATTAAAAAGAGGAACACGTACTGTAAGTTTAGGAGGATTATTTTGTCAAGTATTTTTATTTGTTGAACATATTCTATTTGTACAATGAATTTATAGTGGTGAATATAATGATTATTTTTGTTTTGAAGTTAGAGACAATGCGAAGCAAAATTTTTAGTCCAAATGATTCTATGAAGGTTCTATCGATGGAATGACAAAATTAAATGATAGTAACATTTATAAAATACCTTAGGGGATGAGATCTTCTTCCTCTACTTTGTATGTAAAATTTAATACACAAAATTAATTACACAAAAAATTCAAAACACATATATGTCTTTCTAATAATTAGAAAAGACTTGTTTTGTGGAGGTAATGATTTCTTTTTTTAAATAAACGTGCGAAATAGAACATTTTTCTGAATGGTGTTTGTATTTTATTTTGTTTATATGAAGCTATTAGATGTAGTCTTCCAGAAAGAAATTAATTAATTTTGACTGGAGTAATGGATTTATTTTTATAGATCATTTTGTTGACAGTAGTATTTATATTAAACTTATAAATATACAGATTATACATAATAAAGATACGTGCTCGCTCGACTCAATTTCAATAATATTAATTTTACGATTAAGTTACTATTACACTTTATCGTCTATAAAATATTTTTAATTCAACGAAATATTTATTATGAAATAAATTAAAATGATAGACAGAAAATTATTATTTTTATTATTTAAATAGGAATCTTAGTCTTGTTAGTTTTTGAATATTTTTATGAGTTATTTTGAAAACAAAAATATAAATATTCATACATTAACAGTAATGAATTATATAATTACAATTGACTTTTCTGATTGTACGTACAATCACTGTTTATTAATTAAAGATTTACTGAAGTAGTTGAAAATTCTTTCTCTATTAAACATTTTCGAAAAAAGAGACCGCTTTCGTTAGTTAAATTTTGTTAATTTAATGATTAAAATAAAGTGATGGAAAATTATAGAACAAATTGTTATAATGTAGAAATATAAGAAAACATTTTTCCTTGTATGAGTACTATTCCATAATATTAGTGGAATTTTTTAGTTGCTCTACATTAAATTAATATATTGTTATACAAAACATGTAACGAAGATGTCTGGTGATGAAGAGCGATAGTTTGTGTTGTAGCTTACAAATTGTTAAGCGTATATGCATGGATACAATTGAACGAACATATTACAAATCCTTCAATTGTGGATGGTACGGTTCCAATTGTATATACTCCATAAAATGTTAATTATATTACTATTATTATCGATATCAATATTTTTATATCATCGAGACATGGAAGAGATAGAAAAAAAACAGTATATATTAATGAAACTGTTGGAATTGTAAAATTGACTTGCATTTTTTATATATTTATATATGTTTATTCGTTATTCGAGTAATATTATGTAACGTCCACAATATAAGGGTCGATGATTTTTATAATATATGAAACTCTTTTGAATTTATATTATTTCACATTGCACAGATTGACGTACACTAATATATTTGCACACATATTCGTATATACATACGTCTCGACTCTATTGTCTGAAGTTAGAGGATCCCTGCAGGTGCGTGGTACATCTTGAACGATTAGAATGCTCATTTTCAGAAGTTCATGTAAAATATCGTATATGGTACGTGAAGTACATTATACGTTCGAGCGCAATTCGATGGAAGGTCGTGTAACATGCTACACTTTTTAATGTATATTGTGCACATGCAAAATCTCGATGAAATTCTGTTTCCTTAAAGCATTAAGAAGTATCTAAATAATATATAAAGCGCTTGCATATTTGTAGGAGGAAAAAAATGAAAATATTCGAAGAAAAAATAGCTTCAAACAAATTTAAATAATTTCAAACATATCAGAAGTGCTATTGGTTACTACTTGAATCATTTGTCTATTTGTTCAAAACTCAAGATTTAAATACTTGCAACATAATTACATTAGTATGATATAAAAAGCTTATAATATAAAAAATTTATAACAAAACATAAAAAGAATATTATTTACTATTTAAAAGAAGATGCTAATTCTGGAATTTGGAACATTTAAATGCTCGATATTCACTATCACTAATATTTTTATTATTTTTAACTAATGCTGCAGATATCAATAGCAAGTCTTTTTGTCCTAATAGATTTTTGATTAAAGAATTTCCTAACGTAAAAAGATTCGGTTTTTTTAAGAGAACCTTAGGATCCATGAATACATGGTTCATTGGTACTAATTCCAAATTTTTTGCAGAATATTTATTTTTACGAAGATATGGGGACGTTTAAGTATAATATTCAGAATTGCTTGTGGTATAGCAGAATTTCTCGATAATTTGTACGCTCGACAGTTGACTCCATCCATCTGAAAAGCTTGTCAATTCCGCATTCAACGTATGTACTGTATTGTAATTAACGGAGGAAATGTTCAGCGGTTTATGAGTCGATTAGTAATGTCATGCTTCGTAGTATAGACGATTCCAAACGTCATGTCGAGTTTAAGATTATTCTTTGTTAAGCTTCGAAAACAAGGATGGGGGGATGATTGTTCCCTGTAAGAATAACTTAAAATATATTCGACTTCGGGAACCGTGTATGAAAAAAAAAGTTATGTAAAACGGGCTCGTTTTCATTCCTATGAATTTTTGAATGTATCTTTTCTCGTTGTATAGCCTCTACGTAAAGTATGTGCGCATGTAACGATGAATGTAATTAATGTGTGAATGCGATGCTGCTTTACTTGTGTGTATGCTGTGTGTATGAGCGTGTATCTATCGATGTACGCGTGTAGATGCAACCCTCCAAAAGCCCAATGTAAATAGAATTCACCCCCCCATCTTGCATATAAGTAGATTTTAAGTAACACTCGAGAACGAAATGACTCTTGCCAAATTTTCAATGGGACGTAGGGACAAACAAATAAGCATTTGAAAAATTGCAAAAATATATTGATATTATAAATGAACTCGACACTCATAAAGCTTATTTCGGAGTACCCGCAATCGCTTCTTTCATTTTTTATTTGAGGTTTTTAAAGTTTTACAGAAATTCAATTACACATTTATGTTTGTATATTTAAATTAATGTACATTTGTACAAAAAATTATATTTTTATAGTTAAACGTTACAATATCAAATTACATCGCGCTGCTATTCTTTATATCTCGTAATGAATTATATTAAAAACAAAGAAAATCATATAACGAAAGTACATAATAATATAAAAAGTAAAAGCCTTAGTTTTCTCAGCATAAAATTGGGAATTGCTGCGGTATATAAAATTAATATTATCTACTTAAAGATTATTTATACTATCTTTGGCAAAACATATTAATTTTGCTATCAGAATATACATATTAACGTATCGATCATGACTATCTTTTAATTAATTAATCAACTTGTAATGTTGAAATTATAAAATTTGTTTGGGTCTTTTTTATATTATACAATATTATCACAATATTCGTATGAGCGAGAGTTTCATTCTACACCTGACTTGATTTTGTACAGTAATGATTTTTCCTGAGATTTCGTTGAAGACATTGCTGGTGAGCTGGACCGAGAATTCTTCGAACTCTGAGTAGTATTTGTGCTTCGTTTATCTTGCTTAGCTTTTTTCATCATATCCTTTAATCTTCTATCTGCACTTATAATATGAATAGTTGGTATTATTTTGTTTCCACCACCTATTAAACAAGGTAATGACTGCTTTTTTAATTGAAAGAGAAAATACATCTATTTTTATAAAATATAAGAAACTTACCTGAGTTAGATTTTTTTTGTTCTTTAGATTTATTTTCTATCACTGTTTTTGGTGAGCTCCTTTCTTTTGAAACCTATAAATTAAGAAAGGAGATTTCTTACTTCATAACTTTTATGTTTTCTAACATTTTTTGCTAAAAATTATCAAAATATTTCATGTACAAAAAATATAATAAATTATAATGTGAGTGAATACACACACCTGAGATTTGGAACAGTTTGAACAATACCACACCAGTCCAGGAACATCTATTTGAGAATCTAAAATATGTGGAATATGACACTCCTGATGGTACAAGGAATGGCACTCTGAACACTCAACAAGTCTGTTTCTTGCTCCAACATCCATTCCTTTGCAAATAACACATGTCAGATCATCCTCTAATATTTCTAATGCCAGAGTATTATCAGTCTGGATAATATCAGGTGGTGTGTCACGAGTTGGTAAATTCACAGGAGAGCTGTTTTTGCTCGATTTACTTGAATGTTTGGAGGAAGAAGAAGAGGAGCTTTTGCTTTTTTTACTACTACTGCTGCTACTATGATCACTCAGCACCGGTTCCTCCATCATATACTAAAAACAGAGAATCTAAGAGATAGAAGTTCAAAAAATAAATGACAACATTAGATCAGAGGGATCAAATACTAGATATCTTTTTACGTGAATGAAATCTCCTATGCTTCACGAGTGCCCTGATATCAGAACTAACTCTGTAATTATAATAACTTAATTAATATAAACCACCTTAATTGAAGTATTCTATTCTGGATAACCCTCAACATAATGTCCTTAAATTAATTATCATCTAATTACCTTTTTGTGTAATACATTCGATAACATCTTTGATGGCCCATATTTTTGTTTGATTGCTTCATCTAAAAGTGCTCGCAGCTGTTCCGCAGAATCTTTATTAGCAGAATGTAGTAGGTGCAAACCCTGTGTAAATTGAGGATCTAGCTCCAATTGTGACATTTTTATATGAATTATTTTAATCTGAAAAATATAAAAAATGATAACTGTATAAAAAATATTTTAGTAATATATAAAACTAGTAAATTCTTTTGTGTTTCAGATTAAATATTTTTTATTCATATGGTATAATATTTAAATCACAATTAGTTGGAACATAAGTGAAAAAATATAAAAAGAAAAAAGCCTAGGTTATATTTATTTCACTGATTATTCCTACAATTGCATTCAATTGTTTGATTTTTTTAATATATCGCGATTAAACGAAATTTATTACCTGTAAAAAGTTCTTATAAATCAACCAATATTAAAAATGCTGATTGTGATATACGTGCTTAATGTACTTAATCTATAAATAATATGAAATATTACGCGCCTGAATGTACATAAAAAGCATTTGTGTTCCATTTGTACTAAATCGATCGTATAATTAGAAACCATGAGAACTTAATATTTCTATCTCGTGGTTTCTTCCAAACAGCACCTATGAGGTATCACAGTTATCTACAGTTTCTATTCAACTTAAACGTTCATAGAAAAAGCTTAGATATACCCTAGCATTTTAATAGAATTTATCATATTTTTCCAATGTTACTGTACATTTTAAAAATACCGCCTGGAAAGTATATCCATATATGGGGACTGTACGTTATATGTATATACATAAAGTAAAAAAGTAACTGAAGTTAAAGAACCCAGGCACCGGTATCACTCGATTCGTCCCTGGTCTCTCGTATTCCAAATTTAATTTTACAGAGTTTTGATTCTGCGTTAAATAAATGCAGCCTCTGTCTAGGGAGATATCGTGAAATAAAACGTCCGCTTAACCAAATGAAATAAAGGAAGGTACACGTATCCTGATATGTATACATACTTACGTCTAAAAGCTGCGGAAGAATGGTGAAAAATACAAGGAAAGAAAGACCAAAATAGTAACCCTGCAGGCGATCAAGTGTAAGGAACGAGTCAAGTACGCCTGGTGGTAGGCCTCTTTCCATCTTTTTCTATTTATCGGGGAAAAGGTATGAACGCTTCCTTCTCGAGGCGCGTTAAAACGATGTCTAACTTTCGACGAGCAGTTGGCAGCCGTGCGTAAAAGAAATAAATAATCAAAGCGACCATGAAGTGACAAATAAAGTTGGAGAACAATGCTCGCGAATGGCAAGGAAATTTGAGTGCAGCGTGCATTGGCCCCCGTTCTATGTTTTGAATACGTCTTACGCGATTACAACGTGGTGTTACATACGACATTGAAGCCGGAGGTACGCTATGCACTCGCTGCGGATACGAGGCTGACATTTAGGATATTTTCTTCGTCCCGATACCTTCGTGGTATTGGTCTTAACTTTCGTATTCCTGTATCAGTCGCCCGCTGACAACCGTGATTCCTCCATGCGTAGGAATCCGATTCCGCGGTTACCTAATTTAAATGACTGAAAACAAGCTGAATCGACGGTCACCAGAAGTATTATCATCGGGAAAATTAATAGAGATCCACAGAGACATGCCTTCCTCGGGAGTGCTGTTGCACACCGTTTTTTAAGGACACGTTCGGCACGGGTACCGGTCAACGATATTTTTCGTTGTTAACCTCTACCACTGGTTTTGAATGCGTTGTTACTCCGCACATTGCGGACGATAGTGGCCATGTGTTTGATCTTTACTCACCTGACCGAGGTCTGACAGGATAATTCATCCAGTATAGCTTCAAACATGAAAACAGAAAAGAAGCCCAGCGAACCAAGTTGCGTACCAACCACTGTTGTCAAAGAGGAACCTGACGCAGACCCAGTTAAAATCAAAGAAGAAGGCACCGGAGGTAACAATGATGATACAACAGGAGAAGACACTACAGAGTGCTCTAGGGATCCTTGTTTGGACCCTTCCAATGGGGAAGGTGCATTGTCCGGAGAGAATCAAAATAATAGTGCAAATCAACCAATTCTAAACTCAGTGAAGCAAGAAGGTGATCATAACAATCCCACAGATGATATACCTGGTAGGACTAAATTTAATTCTTATGCCTTTGTTAATTATTTATATTCTTGATGTTTAATTATTGTGTGCAATTATTTTATTTGTTTTATTCATTGTTGTAGATTGTAGTGGTAATGTGATTACCGCAGATGGTATTCAACCATTAGTTAGTAATGTTCTTGGAAAACAGATGGGAACTAGCACAGGAAGCGGTGAAGCTCAGTATATGCAACAGCAAAGTCAAATTTTTGTATTTTCTACAACATTAGCAAATAAAGGTGCAGATGCAGTGATGCAAGGACAATATCCATCAATTATTGCTTATCATTGTGCACAACCTGGCACTAAGAAGTATCTAGAGGTATGTAGTAAAGTTTCCTAAAGAAAAATCTACATTATTTTTATATTTACTAACATGATATTATTATCACCTTAGAAACATCCAAATAAAGTAAACCAATTTCGTCAAAATCCTGCACAATGGTTAAACAACCTTGCAATGATGAAACAAAAAGGTCATCAAGGAGGTACAAACAATACTTTCCAAAATGAGCAACCTCCTGATCTACCGGCTCTTGATCCTAATGCTCCTCCATTCTGGAATGAACAACCTAACCTTAGGAACTTAAATGGTGGAAATACCCTTGGTAATTCTGAACCATCATTGGACGATGCAAATATAGATGTGCCTTGTCTTGTACCAAATTCACCTGGTAACTCAGGTAATATGTAGTTATATTTGTATTGTAGTCAAATATGTTTCCAATTTTTTTACGGGTACCTTTTTGTGTACACTTTATGCCATTAGAAGCATACCTTTTATTACAGCAAATCCACAACCTCCTAATAGTACTACGATGGGCCATAGTCCCAATTTATTAGGAGGTACAACCAGCCCAGGCCCAGGCAGTTTACAGCCATCACTGCAAGGTGTCAAAGTTCCAGACGAAAATTTAACTCCGCAACAAAGGCAACATCGAGAAGTTCAATTAGCAACCATTAGGAAAATGCAAATGATGTTATTTCCTGAGCACAAGGAAGAAACCGCTAATACTCTAGACACGACGCAAGGAACAGCGGTATCGACGTGTCCTCCAACGAACGTTCCTTCAGTTGTACCAACTCAATGTCCTCCAACTATGGATTGGCATAAATTGCAACATCAGTTTCTTGATGGAAAAAATAAGGTAAAATATAATATAAAAGATTAAAGATTGTATTTGAAAAATAATTAAAGATTAATGACTATTGGGTAACTATCATATTAAAACAAAAAGTATACTTAAAAAATGTTAGTATAACGTTTTAATATAATATTTATTCATATTGTAGGCCAGTGTTGGAAGTCCTGGAACTGGAGTCTCATTGCGAGGTGCTAATATGGTTGGGGTCCCGCGTAGTCAAGGGCCACCACCGCCGTATCATCAAACAACGCGATCTGCGAGTGTGCCAATTGCGATACAAAGCCCAAACCCTTCTTCACCTAATAATCCAACCAGCAATTTATCCCTACCGTCACCTCGCGCAAGTTCAGCTCTAAATTCACCCGCAGACTGCAATAGACAATTTCAAATCGGTAATCAGAGAACCAACCATCTACCAGGACAAAGTCCGACGAGTCAAGACTCTCCGAATCCGACAGTTGGAAATGCAACGGCTGTATCAACAACGAGACTTAATCATAGTAATCCGGGAACGCCTGTTTCTCATTCGCACATCTCAACGCTTAGTCCTAGTGGAACAACTGCTCAAAAAGATTCATCTTTAGATTTCTCCACCAGTCAGCCTCCAAATGGTAAGACCAAATAATGGAATAATTACTTTATTGTAATAGTCGATCATATTATCTCTTAAAATATTGTTTGATATGTTAAATAATATTTGACATTGAATCGCATTCGAAGGATCTTAATGCAACAACTAAGTAACCACGATTATTATAATTATTACGTAAAATATTTTAAAAGTTCACTACTTAAAAATATTACGCGGTGAATTGATCGTGTTATATGTTACAACATAGTGGATGGTATGTTTTGCCGCACGCTGCAATCCTTAGCCCAGCAAAAGCAGCAACACACTGGGGCAGTGAACGCAGCGGGTGTTAAGGAAGCGAATCTGATGCCGGTTCCAAGCCCTCAGCAAATTCAGTATCTTAATACCTTCGAGGGACAGGAACTGACTATACAGAAACAGCCAAATACGAGCCTAAAGGATGGCAATTTATCTACGTAAGTATACTTGTATAACAATACCTTACAGATGTATAATTCCCTTTCTAACGTAGGTTTATAATTTTATCTTATTCTATGTCTTCAGGAATACGGCCAGCAATACAGAGATACCAAACAGAATTCTGCCAGGAACTTTGGACAACAGCAATCAGTTTCCTGCTAGATCGGAAGGTGCAAGTCCAGTTCAAATGGATAGCATGAATCGTGGGTTTACAGGCTCTTTACACAGTCCACATACTCCTCATACTCCGCACACACCAGGCAATGGTGCTCCGCATACTCCAGTTGATCCTGGAAAACCCGGAAATAAGTCTAGTGCAAGTGCACAGAGTAGTCCAGCACCGCATAACACGAATATACCAGATAGTATGGGTCCTCCAAGAACAGTACCAGCGTCACCTACTACGAAACCCGACACATCTCCGCCATCAACGAAAGATACTCAGCAACAACAAACTCAGCCCCAACAGCAGCAACAGCAACAGCAACCACAGCAACAATCGCAACAACAACCACAACAACCTCCTCCACAACAACAACAACAACAACAACAACAACAGTCTACAAATCCAAGTCTTACAAATCCAAGTAATTCTGGAAACGCAACGGTGGTACCTTCTCTGGGAGGTCCAAGCGCCTCCTTCCCTTGCGGTAGACCATCTGTGAACGTGAGTCAACCTTCAGACAATGTGCCTCTTAATCCCAACAATATCGGAGGGCGACTCGGCAGTTTAACCGCAATGAGTACAAATCACTTTGATCCCATAACTTCCTTAGCTCAGATGAGTCAACAACTTACTAATACGGCAGCTAGCAATTCATTAGGAAACGAAGGACCTATTCATTCCGGGAACACCGGGATGATGCAGTTCGGGAATCCGCACAGTATGCACATGATGCAAATGGGTGGCGAAATGAATGGAAGTTGTCATATGGGTGGTCCGACCAGTGAACAGGGCGAAGTAGGAGGAATGTGTATGAGTTTGGCAGGACCACCAACGAGTTATAGCCCGACAACTTCACACACAGGAAGTCCCGGTGTACCTAGTAAAATGGGTCATCCTATCATGGGCCATGGTATGATGAGTAGCCATTCAGGTAATGCGACAGGAGCATATCCTGGTGGCGATCCTCATGCACCGCCGCCAAGATTAATGACAGGTCATGTGACTGGCCCTAGTCCTTATAACGGAGCGAATGTTCAAGTAAAACCTAGTGCTCCAAACACGATACAATATCTACCAGCAAGGCCCAACGTCGGTCATACGCCAAGAGGACCACCAAGTTTGGACTTCCTTCAACGATTCACGAATCCCTTGTCTAATTTAGAATCAAAGATGGGCACACCGTCTGTAAATCTTCAGTACTTCCCAAACGGTTGTGTACCGAACAGTATGGGCCCGCATACTGGTATGCCATCAACCATGAGCGGTGGACTTCCTGGCATGGGAGGCTCTCCAAGGATGGACGGACAATCGATGAACACATCAGTTGGTGTACATCCTTCGATGAGACCTGTCGGCAATATGAGACCTCAGCCTAATTTAATGCGAATGCAACACATGGTTGGTGGTGGCGTCTTTCCAGGCGGTTCAATGGATCCAGATAAAGTCTTCCCACCTGACATGGTATCACAAGTTCCCAGTCAACCGAATCCTGGTATGTACGTATCCGGCAGCAAAGGCAGCCCAATGGGATTAGGACCTCCCCCGGATGCGACACAGCCATTACCTCCGAGCATGGGTGGTGCTACTAGTAATTTCAAGAACAGCCCTTTCGTCGGTAGTGGACCTAGTATGTCGGATCCAAATTATGCTCAACAATTCCATAACTTCCAGCAACAACTTTACGCTACAGGGACAAGGGGTAGCGGTCCACCACATCCTACTTTACATCCGCCGCCAAACTCGCATTCGCATCAGCAGTTCTTTATGCCGAAATAAAACTAACGTGTAAGCTGTCTGATCGAAGATAGACGTCGCGACGACGATGATTTATGATTGTGGTGGCCTTTCTGTGTCCTTTTCGACAATTGCGTTTATTAATCCGAGGACAATTAATCCGATCATAACGAACGAACACGAGTTTTTCGGATAATGTAAAACTTTATATAAAAATTATTGCGCGCGATCTTGTAAAGGACAAAGAAGTCGAATTTGTTAAGGTTCTAATGTTGATGTGATTATGGAGAATAATTAATAGTAACACCATTTTTCGCGGGATGGTTTATCGTGACTGGCGGTAACGAGATTTCTCGTCCAATTCTTTATTTACGGTGTTGTTTATGTATGTGTTATTATATCGATAAGCGTTTTATTCTTAAATCACGACATTAAAAAGCCATTTTAATGTCTCTCGCGACTCCAAAATCTGTTCCATCGTCTTAGAGGATATCGTTTTCGTATCAGAATTCTCTCTTTCTCTCTCTCTCTGTAAATTGGAAATATTACGAATGTCACGTGGCGTTGCGTGATTTATGTAAATACTAATGTAAAATCTGATTTTTCTTCGTAGTAATCGTTATTTCGTCGATCGGAATATACGGTGATCGTTGCTAGAGACTTTTGTGGATCAGGAGGAACGAGAAATGAAAGAAAGAACATAAAAACAAAGATGGATATGAATGCGTCCCTTCTTCCTTTTTATTCGAACAATTGCTCGTGATAAAGTAATTGTGCGAGAATTAATGAAGTATTCGAAGGAACGACATGAAGATACGCCGGTGAACAATTCATCCTTCCTTTTATCACTAAATAATTAAAAAAAAACGCAGTCAAGCAAGCTCAAATTCATAATTGTACATATATACGATATGTATCCCTGTTGCAACATACTCCTTAAAACAGTATCGCCCGTCCCTTTTATTCCCTTCACCGATTCCTCCTTGTGACCAACACTGTGCATAATCATGACCCTACGTAGTGTAATAATTATAAGAAAAAAGAATAATTGACTAAGAACAATTATGTTGTTGATGAATGATTTTTATTATAAATGAAAAATAAAGATATTTACAAGAAGTCAGTATCAGAATTGATCGATAATGAGTTTCGTAGCTATTCGAGAAAATGGGCGTCACAAAGATTTTTTGATAACATTATTAGGGTTGTGCGGGTATTCAAAATTGCGGCCTAGAATCGGGTCGGGAATCTTTTTCGTGTTCGTGTCGGGATCTCGGTTTGTCGACACATAAACATAATTGGGTACCCGTTACTTCAGAACCCGATTTTCGATTCGGGATCCGACGCTCAATTCAGAACATAATTTTTCTATTACATTGTACTTAAACTTTCAACTTATACTTTTGCAGTTGTAATCATATGTAAGAATTTTAAACCAAGGAATATATTGCACAATATGACATGTGAAAAATTATATTCGGAATCGAGTACCACGTAATCGTAAACCACGTTTCAAATAACGGGTATTCGAATATGTTTGCGCTGATAAACTTTCGGGATCTTGACCCGAGCTGAGGCTCCGAGATCCGTAATTTCGGGTATCCGCACACTCCTACTCTATATGTATTTTTTTCTGCCCGTCGAGAACCGAACACAGGTTTTTAGAGGTTTCCAGGTGTCATGATGACATACCTCATATCATATTTTTTCGATTGAAAAAAACGGGCTGCTTCCAACTTACTCGGATCTGTGATAGTCAAAACAAGAAAATGTATCTTTTTCTTTTTCTTCATTCTGAAGATATCAATACATATCTATATTCATTAGGGAATGATTTTTTAATACTACATTATGTTTATTTAATCATTAGATGTTATGCATGAAAAAAGGAGAAAAGAAAAAGTGAGCGAAAACGTGAGAGAAAGAGCGAGGCAAACAGATAAATTATAAAAGATAAAATAAAAGAAAAATTTTTTTCGAAGCAGCTTGAGCAATATTTTAAGCGAATCAAAGTGAAGTAAGTGACTATGAGAATGTCATGAATTTTGTGATAACGTACATAAAGAAACTTTTTTAGAAGTGTGACATGATAGAGAGCTTTCTCGAAGATTTTATATTTTGAGTTAGAAATAAGATTTCATCTATGTTCGTAATTCAGAGCTTTTACAACGAGTCGTGTAACACATCATCCATAAAATTATATCAGAATTACAGGTCATTCTGTTTTTCTGTTTTTTTTTTCTTGTTTTCATTTACTAGCGAAATATTCTACCTGCGTCAAGCATTTTACGAATTTCCACATTACTATGCAATATTTAGGTCAATATTGCGCAAATAAGTAACCTACATTTTATTCTCCATCCATAGAGTCAAACGAAGTTATGAGTTCAGTCACGAAATGTAAAGCTTATTTGTTAATCGATTCCCTTTGCAATAAGTTGTATATCGTCCATCACTTTATCCAAAGGTGCTTACTAAATCACTAAATTTGTTGCGTTGTGTTATATCTCTTAGTACTCGAGCAATTTTTCGCTCATGGGATTTCCTCTCACCTGTAAAAAATCATTTATTTAACGAGTATTGTATTATGATCTCCATCAGGCTTGTTAAATCTATATCTTCCTTTTAACCATGTCATTATGAATCTAACTAATAAGGAATACGATAATGCTATCTCTAAAAGGTTTAAAACAAATGTGCCGTTTAGCAATTTCATCCATTAATATCGCGATTCATTGTCGCAATCAATTTTATACCCGAAACCCAAGTCAAACCTTTCCTTCTGCACATCTTCTCATTGACTGGATGTCCCCGAATCGCGCCAGTCATCTTTATCTCTGTAAAAAAAATATTACGTCCATATATAAAACGTTTGTTACCTGTTTTTATCGATATAATTATTATTTTCTCAAATTCTCTAATGATGATATTATGAATTATTGATCTTGTTTATAACAAAGGAAAATTGCTAAATGAAAGTAAGAGAAAGTTGCTTATATAGGTCCTCCATTTTTATTGTTATTATTACCTTGATTGTTGTTCTTCTGAAGATGCAGTGCTCCCATTTGTACTGAAAATTAACAACATGTATTGCATCTACTATACAAACGTTAATCATGAGAAAATTTACTTTTTCTTAATTGCAAAGTCATCCCATTCACTAAGATCGTATTTCGATAAATCACCATCTTCTTCATCATCTTCCTCTTCCTCTTCGTCTTCATCCTGAAATTTCAAATGTGTTTGATATTTCTGATTATCGATAAAATAACATCAATTACATTTACATTACATTTTGATCTTCTTCATTCTCCACTTCATCTCTTTCATCCTCGTCCTTAGACTTGTTACGCGGTGGGCTGCTATACCTAGAATCTTTGGAATCGTCATCTGAGCGGTTTTCAATCTTTCGTTTCTTTTTACGACGCCCGAACTCGTCGTACTCGTCATCATCATCTCTTCTTTCTTTATATTCAACGACTCCTCGATCATTATATCCTCCTCCATATCCTGTACGTTCTTCAATCTCTCCGAATTTCGGTGCATTACACATGTTACACTGCTGTCGCCGGGCCCAGTTTACGTTTCCACACTTACTGCACTGCCAATCATCAGCACTAAATATAAAGATATCATAACATACAATCATTTATTTGCTCTGTTATTCATGTATGTATAGTATTTACTCATTGTGTAAATATTTTACAAAAAATCTAAGTATATTGAAAGTTAAAGAAAGATATACGATATATTGTACAACTCTGTATATTATTGAAATGAAAATACCAATCATTTAAATAAATCTGATCAAATTATATTATGATATTGTCCCTGAATGTTGTGCTTTTTAGGATATTTATTCTAAACTTATTTCATATAATAGAGAATAATTTCTTTCTGCGTTATATTGTTATATATGTTCCTATTATTTACCTGAATAATCCTCTACTTTTCTCTGCAGCTGCTTTACCAATTTCTTGTCCCAATTTTTTTTTCTTAGGACACTCTCCTCTGTCTGCATAAAAATATCTTTTGTTAATTGTTATATATAATATTATATATTGTAATATTAATAAAGCAACACATTAAAAAAGTTGTAAGGAACAAAACATTATCATAAGGAAAATTATATAGAAACTATACATTACCATATTGACTTTTATATACCTTTTCCACATCGATTACAAGAGTTTCTTCTTGCAAAATTTACATTGGCACATCTGAAATATTAAACAGTATCAAGACACCATCTCACACAATAGGTATGTATATATAGACAATTTTATATCTTTAAATATCAACATTTTACAGGTTCATACTAATATTTTAAAATACAAAAGACTTATGTTAAGTTAGTCTTAAACATCTTATTGTTTTACTTTAGTGAATACAAAATTTCTTTAGTACAATAAATTACTACGAACAAACTTCAGCATAGTATACATAATAGTGTAATTAACTTTAAGTATAAAAAACAATATACTAAATTACTCATTTAATAATTAACATTTTTCTCAAGCAGATAACATTATTACATATCATATGATTTATTACAGAATCAGTGTTACCAATTGAAATAAACATTGTAAAGGGACACAGCGATAGTATAAATAATATGTATTGAACGAAGTTGAAACTACAGTGGATACAAAAAGTATTTTCATCAGGTTCTACATTTCATTTTCATGATATCCACATTTTTATGGTCGCATGAAAGCACTATTAAATGATACGAAATTTAATGTACATGGACATGAGTAATTAATATGTGATAAATACAGTGATATGCAAATATTTTTTGTGGCCACTGTAAATTCGCGATTAAAGCATAAAGCTGATTTCATACAGCAACGTTGCCTCTAGGAAAGCTACGTACTGAGAATCGGGACAAATCCAGTCCCCATCATTAATATTACGTTGATTTTCTTCATCCACTTTACTATTATCCATTTTCGTCTCTGGGTTCCCTGCGTGTAAACCTGATCTACTTTATCAGAGCTGCATTGAACTTTGCGATCTGTGTAGTTCGTTCTTTCCGAATTCTATCTAACCTTTACAAGTATGTATTTGTAATTGTCCAAATATTATCGAAATAGTACAAAGGCTTAACTTTCGCCAGTTTTTTCCGGATAAGTGCAACTTCTCTGAATGCGTTTTACGCACTACTATCTATTGCATTGTGTCGTATATAGAAATTAACGCACCGAAACTATGGTATGCAACACACTAATGCAACATTAACGGCACAATCACAGTTCCTACGATGCGATAAGCCCGTAACGTGGCGATTTCACAAATTTTAACCGCGCGTGTTACTTCTTATTTAATTGATGAAATGCACAATAGGAATAATAAAATATAATAAATGTGAAGGTTGATGAATTGTATTTTCTTTTAGAGATAACTGTTACAACAGAATTTTAAAAAAATGTAAGTTATATTCGTTATAGCGTATGCGGCATGTTGGTTGGGAGGGATAGTATGTATATTAACTTAATAAGTGCAAAGTAAGGGCAGCGAATACATAAATCGAAAAGTAATTAGTAAAAGACTATATACATATGTATGTATACATATGTAAATTATATTATTCGATACGCGTCATTAATTACAAAGTTATATATTACCATAGTGAACATAGGCAAGGATTTAGTATCGTTAATAATATTGAATTGAATTTACAAAGATATAACTTGTACCATTAAGATGGTATATAATCATTAAAGTAATTAAAATGCATGAAATTTTCAGATATTTGACAGATTGAAATTATAATGGTGCAAGCCAAGATTTCGAAAATTTATAAATTCAATAATATATTTTAGTTCTTAAATGTATCATCCCCTTCATTTCATAGTTAATTAAGTTATAACTTTATTATCTGCTATAATATGTTTTTATGGCTTAAAAATATTATGACTATAAATGCAGGACACTATTTTTAAAAAAATTATTAGTATACTAATTTACACCACTATGATTTGCTATTCTTCTTATGTATGTATAAATATATAAATATATAAGCATTTCCTCAAAATAACAAGTGCAGTGAAATAAAAGTATCTACTTATTTTATTTTTTAATTAGATAGGCTGGAGGTAATGTAATGATTTTAATACATTAAACAGGAACTTTTTTAATTATAAAAATATTTTAATATTTTAATTAGAATTGTAATAAATATTGTGTTATTAGGTACTGAAGTACAATATTTGTAGCTCTTCAATGGTATACTGTTTTCTGCAGATTATTAAATGGCACAGTTTGGTCTTTTAAGTTCAACGTTTTCTTTGTATATTTAAATAACGTAGAATGTAAAAAAAAAATTAATTGTAACATATAAATTTATTTGTTTCTGAGTTTACAAGAGCTATTGGTGAACATTTTAAAAGATGCGTTCTATTTATTTGTTTAATGTTAAAAATCAAATTTATTGTAACGTAGAATTGTTACAAAAAGTATTTACGCATCAATGTATTTATTATAGTATTTAAATACTGATTAATTAATGAGTTTACTAAATATCGTATCATTTAGCAGTACTTGCAAGTAACTCTAAAGATTTAATACTACGAAAATGAAATGTAGAGCCCGATAAAAGAACGCTGAAAAAGGAGTACATATATTGTAACATCTTAAGACTTTTGTAACTTAAGTATACAAAGGCTTTAATAAACGTTCAATTGAAATTAATCAACCGTTTAGTTTAGTTAACGATCTGTTTAACGATCTCTAAAATACTAAATCTTTGCCCTTATCGAACATAGTTTGTCAGAAATTAAATATTATTCCAGTTAATGCTTCGATCTATTGAATAGAATTTGTAAATTTTTAAATATGCTTTTCGTAAGCTAGAGAGCTTACAGAGATGCAGGGAAACAGTTGATTTCGAGTTTAATTTGGAAGATGCAATCGCTAAAGTTCACAAATTAATTCTCTCAATTAGTCTTCTTTTTATTAATGAAAATTTATTCGATTTTTTTTCATTACGATTAATACTGAAACACTATCACCACGTAGCGGTGGAAAGACGGAACTAATTACTATTGCTGTCTTTGTCATACAGTATCGTCCTCTTTGTCTAATATGAGTACATATGTCTATCCTTACTATTTCCTACCACTTCTGTGATGAGTAATACACATATTGTGTATATATATGCCTTTATCGCATACTATTACTTTCTTTGACTATAGACAAAGTGAGCTATCATCTATCCTTATATTTTCTAAGTTATTGTTTTTCTTTCGCATCCAATAGGTGATAGCACATGGCTTATTCTCCGACAAAGGCCGCAATGTTATGCGATAAGAATATGTAATTGTATCAGGCAAATGTGCAACAGTATGAAACAAAGACAGCAATAGCGATTAGTTCAATCTTTTCACCGCTACGTGGTGATAGTGTTCCATTCTGGTTTTGCGATATTCATGATTCGTGATGTTTGCGTAGGAATCAAGCGAGTAACATTCGATTGAGGTTAAGGTACTTTTCGGAGTGAATCGTACATATAAAAAGTCCATTTTTCACAAAACAATATTAGATAATTATGGCGTACGTATTCTGATCGATAACATTTTTTAAAAAATAACGGAAAGAAGTACTACGTGTGTATGCATACATAAACTAACACATAGCTTCAAAATATATGTCCTGTTAAACATATGGTTTCTTAATGTTTATGATTTAACTTAATAATTAATAATAGGAATGTTCATTTGTTACAGGTCTAAAGTTACTTTTAAAATAACTCTTACCTCTGATCCGAAACTCCCATTTAAAGTGTAAGTTTAGTTACTCTGGTGCGAGACATCATTTTATTGAATCATAAGATTCATGTTCTTTATGTGTAAATAAAAATAACACAAATATGTCAGAGGCTGATTTTCTTGAAGTATTGAAAATGTTTAACACTTTTCTTGTACTCATAGAAAATCCGAGAGTTAGCCAAGAAACAAGTATTGAGAATGTTATCAAAGCTTTTCAATGTGCTCAGTTTATTGAAGTCACAATTGCTAAAGCATATGAAATAGGCAAAGAAAATGTCCTTGATAATAATCTTCACAGCCATTGGTTAAAGGAAAGTAGATCAAATTTGTATAAATGTTCTGAATTGAAAAATGCTTGTGATAAATTACTAGAGGTCTATTTGAAAGACACTAACATATCAACTGATATTGTGGATGAATTTTTAAAATTGTACATTCAATATTGTGGCAATGAGAGATTCAATGATTTTCTTAGACGAATATTAGTTAATGGAATCTGTACAAATATAGTTATAGAGTCTTTAGAAAAGTTAGGTGTCTCTGCTTTGGACATGCAGGATGAAGCTTTAATCATTTCTTGGGAATCTTTAATTAGTAATGGTAATGAGTATGAGGTTTTGGAATATATTCATAAAATGGTTAATGATGGTTTTCATTCGAAATTAGTTCACTTTGCTGCTAATTTATATAACAACAGCAAAAGTAAGGCGTTAATAGTTCAGGTATTGTCAAACAGACTTGTCCACAATGATACAAATGTTTGTTTAGCTCTTACAAAGGTAAAACAAAAATTGCTTTGGAAGTTGATGCAAAAATATTCAGAGTTTTACACAAATTTCCTTGATAGCATATTTTACTTTGCTCGTCATATGAAACAAGTTGAAAATCAGTGGATATCAAATTGTGAATTCAAATATGAGCATCTTGTCAAAGTAATAGAAGTATTATTAAATGGTCCTACAGAAATTTCAGAAATAATGTACAACAGAATGAAATTAGTAAAAACACATCCCAATGGTACAATATGGCATAAAATTGAAAAAGATATTGGATGGTAATAGCATAATCCTTGTATAATCATTGAATGGAAATGAGGGTTTATATAAAATTCATTAAATTTATTTCTTTTTTAATTATTTACTTTGTTTCAATAATGATTTGTATAAGCTCTCATCATTCTAAGTTAGCATCTAATTTATTTTGTGAATTAAATAGAAATTTTTAATGATTATTAAATATTGTATAATTATAATTGCAGACTTAGTGTGCCAGATAATACACCTTTCACTGCTGTATTAAAATTTGCTGCTGAAGAATTTAAAGTATCTCCAGCAACATCTGCCATAATCACAGATGATGGAATAGGTATCAATCCACAACAAACAGCAGGTAAGTCCGTCATATTATAAAATAATGCTTATGAGAAAATTTTTAAGCAATATATTTATAATGTGATTAATTTCAGGAAACATTTTTCTTAAACATGGATCTGAACTCAGATTAATTCCAAGAGATAGAGTTGGATAATTACTTCTTAAAATAAACATCTATATATAAATTATTTCTTTGTTGCACTTCTCACCAATAAGTGTAAAAAAGGAACTACTTTTTCATATAAAATTTGTTGTTCACATAAATTTAAATAAAACATTCCTGAAGTTTTATAAATTGTACTATTCAGTCGAATTTTTTCCATCATATTTTTATTGAAGTTGAAGTATAAGTAATATGAGGGTAAAATTATGAGAACACATTAGATATATATTTTTGATAAAAAGATTTTATAAGTGAAATACATGTAAGAGGTATAAGGTCGATACAAAGGTATGTCACTACATGATAAAATTACTTAGCGATCAGTCATAGCGCAATATTGAGTACTAAGAAACTTCTTGTTGCAATCGAAATAATTTCTTCGGAACAAGATTTTCAAATCGCGGCTTACGAAAGATCGCATTAATTACTGAGAGTGATTATAAATCTACTGTTCATAACAAAAGAAAATTCACGGCATGAAAGAGTTGCACATGAGATAGTATTCTTGAGAAGCATTATAAGTTAGAAACAATTTTTATCTGTTTTATAATCATCTTTTCCATTTACATCCTTTTAATTCTGTTACAATCCATAGTTTCACTCAAGGGCATAATGGAAGAAAATTTAAAAATAGAGATAAAAAGGAATTATTGTGCAACTTATAATAACTTTTTCAGATATCATTTTTACATAATGCTTTTTATATATATGGCTTTTGATCTGCTTATATATAAACCTACTAAAAAATACAATAATATAAAAAGGTAAGGGTAATAGAATATGCAACAATGATGTTTCTCAGTTCTAGAATATCTGACAGATAATTATTTAGACATACAAATGTGAACTACAACGCGGACGATGCAAATGGGAGTTATACTTCTTTTCTTTTCATAGCGAAGTATTACCTTGTTCCTCTCTGTTCTACTTTTTTCTTGCTTTTGATGCTTACAAAAGTTTTGTTATCTTTGATTTATCAAGGGAACTTTTATGTTTCTAACAAATGGTATAAAAATGTGTGTGAGAAATGTAGAGAAAAATATATGCAATTTTCTTAAATGCTTTAAGACGTTCAATCCATTGTATAAGAAACTTAATTTATGAACTTTTTCTTCTTTCAATTGTTGCATGAAACTTTTGGCACCTTTTTAATTTCTTACGATTGATGATCCTGTGCCTTTTTTATGTCAAAATACAATACTGGAATGTGTTATTTTGGATTGTTGAGCAAATTAAGCAATCATAAAAAAACAAATTGTATGATTTGTCGTACTTTCATTATTCTGGCGACTACAAGCTAAGGTTTGTCGAAACGGCATAGCACCCATGATTAATCTCTTTTTTACATATAATTATTAAGTTACCGATGCTGAAATATAAAAGTATAAAATGTGCGTGATTCTCGCATGGAAGCGTAAATTCCATGTTTGCTTGTAGACGTATTTGAAAATTGATATACTAAAATGGAGGGATCTTTGTTTATACAAAACTGCTTTCAATCACAGGAATAGGAACGCCATTACATTCTTAACAGTTACAAGAAACTATCGTTACATATGATTAGACTATTTTATTGGGTTGTAATATAAGTAAGTTCAATCAAATAAAGAAAAATACTGGTTTTAGCCGAATTTACCTATGTTACAACCTAATATTGTATAAAAAATGGTCTATCTAAATGGAATAGGATACATTTGTATAAAATTGTAAATGAATACAGTTTATAGAAATGGTAAATCATTCTATCATTCTTAATTTCTATTAGACCATTAAACAGTACGAATTCAGTGTATATTGCATAGACAAAATAGGCATCTTTATACTACTTGCAATCTAAAAACATTCTCATTTCCTGACTACCAATAAATATGGAATTCACGCTTCGACATTCTAATCATAAATGCACAATGAATTGAAAGAATAATTTCGCGCTATGATACATTTTGGTGGATCTTCGATATTTTTTACAAATACTTTGGCGCAATTGAAAGAGTATAAAATTTGGTTTATTCATTATATTCGACATGGTTGTTAACCGTTTAAGATCCAGGAAAACGCTGAACGTACAACTATTTATTGTGTGTATACTTCGCCGTATAACATAACTGTCGACTTATAACTTAGTACATGTAACTTTTTCATTCATGTGCGTGATGTATTGTAGAAATTTCTATTCTTCATTCATGAAAAAAGTATCGTTCGCTAGTATCACACGTATGATGATTATGATTACAGTAATGTATACACTGAGAGTATCATTGATAATGTTAAATAAAGAAAGGTACGTGGCACTAATAGGTATACAATATTATATAAATCATATGTCATTCTTTTGAGACTGATTATTTTATGGATCATTACATACTGTTTTATTTAGCAATAGAAAGGAGCAGTGCTTGTTGATTAATAACAAATTGTTTACAAAAAGAAACATTATTTTTTAAAAATAATATATTGATCAGACGAAGTTTGGTTTTAAAAAGTATTTAATTATTTTTTAAAGAAATTGTTAATTAATTTCCGATTTAAATGCAATTACAAGCATGTCCATTCAAGCAATGCCCATTTCTAATTAATACACTAAAAAGTCTTCTATATTTTTAATTTAGAGCATTCTCAAATCTTAGAAATAACACAACAAAATTATTCAGTAGATTCGTTTTCACTCAGTGCTAAAAACACACTTTGAAATAGTACGTGATCTCAAAATCATAAACATATAATCGAAACTATTGTCAAATTCTGGTAGATATCTGTAAATCTAAATCTCTAATACAGCTCTTACTGTTAATTATCCTATGTAGTTATCCTTAATATCAAATGAATCAAATGGCAGTTAATAGAAATCATTTATAACAAGGACTGCAATCGCATTTTTTTACAAGGACTTCTTCACTGAACTATATAGAATATGTTACGAGAATTTTAACGCGAAGTTGGAAATACTTTAATGTCCAGTCCTCCGTTTCTTTTAAATAAAATTCGTACAATAACCTAGGTAATTATACCTATATTAAAATGTTACCACAATTGAAGAAAATCGCACACGTTAACTTTTCCGAACAAAAATTTATGTTGGAAATATCATTCCAATTATAAATATCTCTCAACATGTACGATGCTAATATCGAAATACTTCCCCTCATGCTGTGATTTTTAACTTATAAATAAATTACGTTTCGAACAGCTACATATAAATTTATTTTATCTTACCGTTTTATTTTAATGACCTACCGATGTCGCACAATCTTTACTCATCCTGTAATTAAAATAACGAAATTGCAAATGTATTATTAAAGTTCGATGTATAAAGATATGATCATATCAATATGATCGAAATTCTTTAATATTATAATGCAAAAATTATTTTGTTTCCAACCTTACAAAAAATGATACCTACCCATTCGTGCTCCTCTACACCTTCCATGTGATCCTGTTCCAAGGAGCACTGTATTACATCGCCCACAAAGTTGCTCATAGTTTTCTGGATCTAGCACACATACATTAACAACACCCTCAGACCAAGTAAGGAATACAACCGTAAATCCTTTAAGTTTATATTAAGAAATTCTATACAGCTTATACAGAAATGGTATACCTTGCAATGTCTTAAGGATTTGCAGCAATAATTATAAAAAGAATTAAAACATGTAAAAGAACGCATGCCAAAGTAATTAAAAATGATTGCACTCTATAAGGAATTTTTATATTTTTATATTTCACGACACGATACTATACTCATTTGATGATACTCACTGATTTGTTTTTAAATATTTACTTACTTCCTCTTGTTTAGCTTTTACGTCGGGATTCCATCCCAGTCTGTTGAAAGGTTGGGCAGATACAGAAAATGGAGTGGCTGATTGTTGTTTTGCCGCAACTGGGGCGGTAACTACACCTTGGCCTTGATTTTCAGTTACTATATATAAAACATAAATATTCATAACATTTTTAATACAAATACTATTATAATACTTTTAATAAAAATATTAGTTATTGCTTACAATTGTCCATGCCAGGTGGTTTTAGACTTATTCTATACGCTTGTTTGTTAGCTCCATTAAACCACTCAGTAGCAGTCATAGTTGGCTTCCATGTAACTTTTGTTGGTGGGAATAAATCATCTTGGAAAAGTTCACTCTGAAACAATTAAAATTAGCTTATTGTCCTTGCATTTTTTCGAGTTATATTAAATCTACCTTTATACGTGGAACGGTGAAACTTAGAGGTTCTATTGTGTTATTTGTTAATCTTAAAGCCGATGCAAATTCTACACTAGCAACATCGCATTTATTCTTAGGAAGAAACGATAAACCCTGATGCAAACTGCTGCATCGATGATGGCTAAGTGGACAGCAATATGGTGGTTCTTCTGTTACTTCAAAAGCATATATTGTAGAATCACCCTAAAAATATATTTTATATGAAACATATTTTCTAAATTATCTCTATCTTCTATTATCTTCTATTATCACTTGTAAAGTATTTAAACTTTTTGGTATTCACTTACACGTCCTGTCAAGAAGAGCGTTGAACTGTCTTCGTCGTAATATGGCATCAAAATTGCAGGCGAAACATCTAATCCAACTGTAGTTAATGGAGTATTAAGATTGTCCGTTTTAAACACATATATTTGTCTTTCTGAAACTCTGAAAAAAATATAAATATTAACAAGTTATTGTAATCTATATAGGGAGTCACAAAATATGTGGAGAATATTCATAAAGTCGATTTTAAATATAAAAATTAAAATAAAGCTATGTAACCTGAAAAATAAGCTTGAATCAATATTTTTGTATAGAAATCTTTCTTCATTGTTTTGATGTCTAGAATAGATTCTATAAATATCTCTCACATATTTTTTGAGACCCAGTATATGATTCAAATAATCGTATAAATCCTTACTTGTCAAAACCCAGTACAACGAGAAATTGTCCTTTCAATGCCCACACAACTCGTGCGCCTCTGGTACCAACAGGTCCTTTGCCAGTTTTAACTGGCACATCGCCAGATCTTGGTTTGTAAACTCGTAACTTTCCATCTTTGCACGTACTCGCGAGATACTGACCGCATGGTGACCACGCTAAACTGAAAATTTGATCTGTATGTCCCATTAGAGTAATCTTCGCAACAGCCG